TGGAAAAAAATCAAAAGAACAAGGCATGGTGGCACTCCCTATACAATCCCCGCACTCAGGACACTGAAGCAGGAGGCTTGAGCTGCAGAGCAGTCTGGTGTTGAAGGGTTGAGGCTAGCTTGGGCTATGTAAGTAAGACTGTGTCTCATAAAGGTGGGAGTGGGGAGAGGAAGGAAAAATTAAAGATCTTTTTGCTATGTGTGAGCACTGGTGTACATATGTGTGAACACACAAGTCAGCATAAGGTGTCTTCCTCTTTTTCCTCTTTCATTCTCAAACTTTTTTTTAAGGTTCTCTTAGCACATCTAGAGCTCACCACTTCACTATATGGGGGCAAACCCCAGGACCTGCCAGTCACAGCTCCCCTAGTGCTGGGGTGACACAAGTCCATGCTGGGGATCCAGCTCAGGTCTGCACACTTGCACAGCAAGTATTACACCTACTGAGCCATCTCCCCAGCCCCCAAAGAAAAGGTTTATCAGCTATAAAATCATATACTTAAAATGGAAGGACTCCTAAATAGAATAAATAACATACTGAACCATTATAAATTCATAGTGCTATAAAGATATCACAAAAACAATTCATAAAAATCTCTCGTATATTTAATAGGCTGATTTCATCCTTTTTAAAAATCGCCTTTAATGGTGTAGAGACAAGCAGTATGTTCGTTCATTCTTCCCTACAAAAGAATCCTTGTACAGAATGCACTACCTTTTGTTATCATTTCTGACCTTCCTAAGTTGTAATGAGGTAGTATGAAATCTAGTTGGCTTTCTTTCAATCCTGACAGTGAAAACTACATACTTACTCAAGAAACACATGTTACCATCTCAAAAGCTTAAAAGTGCTTTATAATTATAATATCCTTTTTGTGTTCCAACTGTTTCACTGAACTAACAATGCTTTGCTAAAAAGCTGAGGACAAGGAGAATACATCAAATAAAAACTATTTTACCTTAAACAGGTACCTAATTTAAAACACAATTTTGTTTTCAGATTTAACAAATGTTTTCTCCTTCCTGTACTGATTAACAAGCACATTTCAGATACTCTGCAACATGCCAAGTTCAAGCACATTACAAGTACCTTGTAATTTATGAAACTTCAAATTGTAAAAGTCAAGATTAGACAAGCAGATAAGAATATTGGGAGCTTACCTCATTAAAAGAAAATATTTCTAAAAAGACTGGGCACAGCTTTGATTTGGTGTAGCATGCATATGAAGACTAAGTAGTCGCCGGGTGGTGGTGGCGCACACCTTTAATCCCAGCACTCGGGAGGCAGAGCCAGGCGGATCTCTGTGAGTTCGAGGCAAGCCTGGTCTACAAAGCGAGTTCCAGGAAAGGCGCAAAGCTATACAGAGAAAGAAACCCTGTCTCGAAAAACCAAAAACAAAAACAACAAAAAAAGACTAAGTAGTTAAAAAAATGTAAAATTAGCAGATAGTTCATGCTTTAGTTCATTAGCCATAAATTATAAAATGTATAATACAAAATACATAATTCATGAAATATGGTAAGTCTAACAAGAAATAAATTATCTATCAACCTTATTTACATGACTCATTTCAAGTATGACTTTACATATCAGTCTACTGCTAAATTACAAAGCCAATGTCAATTCATTTACAACAAAACATTTACCCATTCACTAAAAGTCTAATAAACATAAACACTGATACTTCCTAATATATCTAAACTTTCTCCCTTAATAATTTAGATAGTTTTGTAAACAAGAAGTCTTACACCCAAGTCTAAGCTACAGACCTCAGAACTCACTGAGGTAACCTATTTGTTTGATTGCCTTTTCGGTCTGAATTACGTTTTAGTTAAAGATTTTTATGCCTCTTCATACATGAAAGACACATGAAGGGCAGAGCAACTGAACCTCAGAGACATTCTTTCATTTCATCTTCACCCCCTCAATATTCATACCCTTATATCTACACATCTGAGGTCTAGTTTTTGTTTTGTTCTAAAATGCCATCACTTTTTATATGTGGACTACCTTTTGAAAAACACTAGCCTTTTAGAAATATTATAATACATAAGAAATATTGATAATTCAGCATATTTTAAAAACAAGTATGACTGAAATTTGGCTACTTGCACAAAAATACCGATTTTATTCACAATTGATATGGGTAATCAAAGACAAAAAAACATCCATCTAGGGCTGGAGAGATGGCTCAGCAGTTAAGAACACCGGCTGCTCGTCCAGAGGACCCAGGTTTGATTGCCCGCACCCACATGGCCACTCACAACCTTCTCTAACTCCAGTTCCAGGGGATCTAAGTCCTCTGGCCTCGGCCAAGTATGCATGTGCTACAAACACATGCAAGCAAAGCTCATACATATAAAATAAATACATTTATATCTCAGCAACTGTTCAGAAGCCATCATGAGATTATTTCATATACAACACTTCTAGTTTATACCTGGAACAGGGAGAGCCATTATGTCCTGTCCCAAGTCACATAAGGTACAGCTATTTATTTATTTATTTTATTTATTTATTTATTTATTTATTTATTTATTTATTTATTTATTACTGGGCTAAGAAAATCAAACACAGGGCAAATACTCTATCACTGAGCTACATCCTCTGCCCAATGTGATAATATTTTAAAAGAATTTCTGCAAGCGTATCAAAAATAATGTTTGTGTTCCTACTTAAACATAAAGTGCTTCAAATGTATAACTGGTTTGTCATTCACATGATGATTTAGTACTTGATCTGTACTTGCTACAATTACCAAAAACAGATCTGATCTACTTTCTGATTATGATATCTTAAAAAAACAACTAAAAAGTAATCCAGGTTCAAAATATTAATGCACCTCTTTAAACTACTTTTCAATCCATACTAACTTCTGGATAATAAGAGAAAAACAATAACAGATCATAAAACAAATGCCAACGAAGACAAATATGGTTTCTTCAGAACTGAACTAGCATCTTGGGAAAAATGTTCTCTTAAAGTGAGGCCAAGACCATAACTCCAAACTGAGATTTCAAGAGTGTGATTTCATGTTAGCTTTCTGTTATGTTTAATCCTTTGAAAGGTACAAACCTTAGACAAAACCCTTCTTTTGTCTATTTTACTTTGCAATGCATACTCAAACTAACATAAAAATACTTTATGTCTTAAAAAGTCTAAAAGACTTTACACTTAAATACTTTTTAAGCACTCAGCCAAAGCTCCATGTGTGGAAAATGACTAAATATTTAAGTATTTATCTAAAATCTTTAACTGTCATATGGAAAAAAAATGGATAAATTAAAATATATTTGTAATTTATTTTGTAGACTTACAAATCTCTAAATTTCTTCAAATACATAGCAAAAAAAAGTTAGAAAGGTGCTGCCAAGGAGGGGTGACAGTGAAGACTGGGAGTGCACTAATAAATCTGGGTCTTTAAAGTCTTTGTCAGTGCTGACGACTAAAACACAAAAACACTTGGTTGCACAAGTATACCCTAGGATTCTGAAACACAGCAACCCAAAGTTTTTGATTCGGCTATCCGGCTGAGAGGATGCTGGAACTTCTGACATCTACGGAGAGTGTACAAGATTATACAGATGTAAGCTTAGAGACCAGTCGTCATGCTGGAGACCAGTGTAGCACACAATCCACATCTGCAACCTAGTTTTTACTTCAGCATTCCTACAATCCTCAAGAATATTATGGTCTAGGTCGCAAAATAGTTTCCTCTTTTATACAAACCAACAGAAAGAAAATATAATCTGCAAGTGTAAAGGTGAGATGAGATGGAAAACACATCCCCAAAGCATCTTCTTTCCAATTCCACCTGTTTGTAAACCCCGACTTGCTCAGTTAACACAAACCCTCTGAAAGGGAATGGGGGGAAGAGAGGGGAGGGGGAGAGAAAGGGGGAGAGGCGGGCAAATGACTGCTCTGGAGTCCTTATTCTCCTACCTAGGCATGGGGGAGGGGATGGTACAAAACAATGGATACCGAGGGGCTGGGGGAAAATCGTTTTGCCCTGCAGCCTCCGGCGTTGCGCGCTGGGGGCGGGGAGTTCCACTACTTTTCCTCCAGCCCTCAAAGGCAGCAGCACGGAGATTGCCATCAGGCATGTTGAACAGGGCGGTCTCGGCGGCCACAACTCCTTTCACCCGGCAACACACCCAAAGCCAATTCACCACTCGGCACGCAGGGTCTGTGGGAAGGAGACCGCCCAGCGCCCAGGGCTTCGGGGAGGAGGCGCAGAGACCCC